TTTTAAATTCATTGCCAGCACTTAAAAAAAAATCAGGAAATTTCTCCTCAAACTGCAGATTTTTGTTATTTTCCTGAAAGATCAGCTGATCTGTCATGCAGAGCCTTTCCACCCCCAGAATCCACACATTGGGAGGAGAAAACAGACTCTTGCAAGTTGTCCTCCGACCTTCACGAGTGTGCCGTCAAGTGTGCTGTGGTATGTGTGCACACATACACATACTCTATCTAGCTCCCAGGACTAAGGGCACAGTGTCTGAGCCTGGGAAGGGTGGCATCTACATGGTGGGTGGTGGTTGAGTCATCCTGGTCCCAAGTTCAAGGCCCTCAAGAGCCTCAGGCTTCATCTACCCATTCCTATAGAATGTGATCCTCTAGCCCCAATAGACTTTTGCCGTTCCCCGAATTAATCAGATATTGGCCCCGGCCTTTATATATGCCATACCCTTGACTGACGGGCTTCCCCCCAGCCTATCGCATCTCATCTCTCAACCCCAACCTAGCTGAAGAGCAAGCTTGCTGAGTTGAGCTTACCCGAATGAGACAGCTGACAAGACTGGAGCCTGGGCTAGAGGTGGGGGTAGCCACGGTGACACAGGGTGACTGTGGGGCCTGAAGCCTCCAGTTCCGGTGTGGCCCAGCCCAGCACAGCGAAGGAGAAAGTCAAAGACAGAGAACAGGGAGGCAGTCTCCAGACAGGAATCGGGTTTGGTTGTCATTTTTGGGAAATTCCTTCTGGAAGGACCCTTGGGTGGCCTGTCAGCATGGAAAGGATCTTGTCAGGAGTGGGGTGGGGTGGGGAGGAGGGGCAGGCATTCTGGTGGTTTCCGAGTTGGGTCAGGGACCCTGTGCTGGGACTTTCTGTTCCCAGTTCCGGGCCCTGACTAGCCCATCTAAACCCATGATGACCTTTAGACACTAGAGAGCTTGGGGAGGGGGGTTCTGAATGCACGGGGAAGCAGGGCAGTGTCCTTAGATCTAAACAAGAAGCCACTGGCCCTGGGCCACGCTTCTTCTCCCTTCACACGGAGCCCATCAGCCTCTCTTAGCGCTTGAGCTGACCTCCCAAGTGATCCACTCAATCATTCTTGCATCACAGCTGAGTCTGAGCGCCTGGGTCAGGCTCAGCTGCTACACAGCACCAGGCAGAGCCTTGGGAGCCTTTGGCGTGTTTCTGAAGAAGACAAAGGGAAGCCGCTGAGAGCTGAGACTCCAGAGGGCTCACGGGTGTCACTGGCTCTACCTCTGACCCCATGTGTGACCTGAGGCAGGTCACTGGCTCCTCCCAGCCTTGCTTTCCTCTTTTGTAAACTGGGTAGGAATCTGACTTGGACTCACAAAGCTGAGACACACGTAGGGAATGTGGTGAGCATTCCCAGGTCACAGATAGCTGAAGCAAGGCCACTTGTCTCCTCACCTCCTCTGTCACTCCAGGGGCCTCGAAGCTAGTGTCTATGACAATTCTCGTATGAGTCTTTGTGTCAGAGCCCTTGTCGGCTTTGGCTTAATTTTCTGAGATACTTCCCAGTGTCCTCTTTCCTTAACCTGGTGGCTCACTGAGCTCACAAACATGCCGAGTCCATTCTCCCTTCTAGAACGGGCTCTTCAGGCCTTGCTAGTACTCCCCTGAATCCCACCCTCCACCCACTCTGAGGGTGGATTACTCTTCCCAGCTGCTGAACAACTGTTTGTGACTATTTCAAACTCTGACTTCTTTTCGTCTTCTTTTCAGTATTATTTTTGACCTAAAGATTTTTTTTTGTAATGGGATTACAAATAAAAGCATCAGTTAGATTAAAATGGTCACTCAGATACTTGCCCAGTCCCAAACTGTAGAGCTCAGTGAACTTCTACATAGTTTGAAGGAAGTCATAGCTTCGTTCAGGGTTCTACACTTTCACTATCAGTTACTTTTTAAATGCACTTATCCACCACAAAAAGAAAAATAAAACAGTTGACATTAGAAAAACAATTAGATTTATATCCTCTTCCATGAGGCAATATTTCAGGTTGATCTCTCTCTCTCTTTCTCTGGTGTTCTTTTCTTTCTTCATCTTTTCTGTGATCCTGGGCATTGAATTTAGGGTCTTGTGCTCATTAGGCACACGCTCTACCATTGATAGAGTTCAATAGGCTGACCTTGAACTTTCAACCTTCCTGACTCCGCCTCTGGGTAGCTAGAATGAGAAGCCTATACCACCACGGGCATTGAAAGTGTTGGCGTTTTTATTCTTGCAGTTCCTGTTTCTGACTCCATAGATGGACATCGCAGAGCTGGGACCTGTCGTCCCAGCTCTGTCCAGTCCAGGTTGGGTCCAAGGCCTCAGGGATGGATGGAATCAAGCTTCACGCCCCAGTCTTCCCACCCTCTTGGGTGGGTTCTGTCCCTAACATCCCAGAGCAATTGCCAGGCCTTGGCTACAACGCATGGGGGTGCAACACCATTCTCATGGCTCCCCCATGCTTCAATCACCCACACTGATGTTAAGGCCCAGTCAGCCTCTGCTCGGCTGCCCCCTCCACAGACCAAGCTTCTACATACACCAGGGACCCAGGGATTATCCCTGCTACCTACTATGAACACAGAAACAGTCCCTGAAAGGAACAGGCAGACTGGGCACTAACTGGCTACATGGCACCCTATGTTAAGGCCAAGTCAGCTCACCACCTGGTACTCTCTAGACCAGTCATGGGAGAAGTAACACACATACCCCCACGTTTGCTCCCTAGCCAGTGGCACCTGGAAAATAATTTGCTTTGTGAGGAGCCAGTGGAGTAGAATACACAGACTGGAGTTCACCAGTACGGAGTAAAGAAGACAGAGAAAGCCTCTGACAAGTGATAGAGGAGAGAGCCTTAATATTAGGAAGATCGGTGTTCTGACCTCTGCTCTGCTGGTTAGCTGCTGGGTGATCTTGGGACAGTCACTTGCCCTCTCTGAGTGTCTACTTCCTCATCCGTTAAAACAGAAGGGAGATTTCTTTGAGGTCTCACACCGTCCATGGACAGAGCTGGATTTGAACATGCGGCTCATGGTTCTTTCCCTCAACTCCCATATTTGCCCTGGGAAGACCTCATTTGCACATGGAGGGTCAGAGAGAGCAAGCAACAGCTGCCACACACACCTAGAGCGACGAAAGATGAACTGTGTGTGTGTGTGTGTGTCCGTTGTTCAGTGGGGATATCAGAGGCTTCCTCTAGCTTGGAGGGAGGACCCCGGGTACGCTTCATTTGGAGGTGCAGGGAGTGTTAAATTTCCCAAGGAAATGCTGTGTGTGGGTAGGGACTCTCTGAGCAAGGGGCTGATGCCAGAGAGTGGCTTCCCTGGATCTCACCATGGAAACAGTGTGGGGATATTAGTTTCCTCGCTACACAGACAGGAGAACTCTGCCTGCTGCCTAAGGGTACGTGTAAGTTGGCGTGTTATCTCTGTGGGAGATACATATGTCTGTCCCTATGGGAACAGCTGGCCCTGGACGCTTTGAAGACTATCATCTGCCTCCCTTCATCTCTCTGCCCGCTATATTAAGCCTGGCCGTAGCCCAAATGGACACTGAGGAAGCACAGTTGGAGATGACTTCTGTTGACTCAGTGGGAGGATTTGGGGGCAACTTCCTCTTATATTTGTGTCAGGGATCAGTTAGAGGACCACAACCTAGCCTTTATGGGGAGGAGAGGCGGGCGTAGAATTGAGGGTGCTAGTTTTTCCCATGCCTCCAATCCCCCCCATTCATACTGAGAATGGGAATGGGATTTTTTTTTTTTTTTTTTTTTTTTTTTTTTTTTTTTTTTTTTTTTTTTTTTTTTTTTNTTTTTTTTTTTTTTTTTTTTTTTTTGTCAATGGCCCATAAACTCATTGAAACCATCCCACTATGTCAGGTTCAGTGGCACCCACCTGTGATCCTTGCACACTGCAGGCAGAGGCCAGAGGATGACATGTTGGAGATGAGCCTGGGCTACAACCAAAATCCTGTGTCACCAAAACCACAACTGGCCCCACCTCCTCAAACCTGACCTCCTCCTCCTCTCTCCCATGAGGCTTCCTGAGAGGAAGCATCCATCCCCCCCCCCCTTCCTGGTGCGCTAGGGTCCCCAAGCTGTGTCTGTCACACTGCAGAGCCTGTTTGGCCTGAAGCCTTCCTTGTGGCCACCTGGGAGCAAGCCGGCCTTGCCCGAATGGGTGTGAGTTCAATGGTACAGCGGACAGGCAGCAGCAGGGAGCCCAAACCGTGACTGCAGGACATCCAGCCCAGCCACCTTGTTGTAAAGATCCTTTGTTCCACCACTGTCACAGGTGGTCTGTCTCTCTGCTCTGGCCGCTTGGTGCTTTCCTTATGCCGTTCCAAGCCTGGTTTGTGGAAGATTCTGGATGTTTGCCTCCAGCCTCCTCTTAGCCCACTGCCATCTACCCACAGGTGAGTGTACGTAGGCCTCTTTCTGAGTCTCCTGTACTCTGTGAGGCTCCTGGGATTATGCCTAACGTCCATCAGTCCCCTTGGTCATCTGTCCCTGTGGACAGATGGCTTTCTGCTCTTCTGACTCACACTCTCAATCTCCTTTCTGTCCCTCTGGGTCTTCCTGGTCACCTTCCTTTAGGGCCAATCTCTGTCAACGCCTGAGTTCTGCTGACACCTGTTGGTCACATGCTCTCTCCCTACGGCCTCTCTCAGCTCCTTCTCGGTGGTTCCCTACCTTGTCCATTCATCTCTACATTGCCTCTGTCTTACTGGGGGATCAGATGTTGGTGGCTGGGCAGGACTCAGGTCTCAGGATCACCAAGGTGGTTTGGCCTGTCTCCCTGCCTCCAGCTTCCCTTCCTGCCCCTCTCATTCACTCTTAGACCCTCCCTGTGTTCCACAGACCCTGCGGGTGACTCTGTGCAGAACTGAGCCTGTCTCCCCAGTACAGCACCGAGGTGCTGTATCTCACTCACCCTTTGATGTGGTTGATGAGGCTCCCAGGCTCCTTCCCAATTCCCTCCCTTCCTTTACCTGCACTTACCTATTCTGGGCCCCATGGCTGGGAGAATGCAGAGAGCTGTGGCCTCTCTTTCCACCTGGAGCTCAGCATAGAGGAAATGAGCCTGTTAGCGGTCCCCTGGAGACAGCTTCTGAGAGCATCAACACAGGACTGTCTCTCACTAGGCTATTTTCTTTGGCCTCCTGGACAGCCTCTGCCCTCAAGGTAGAGGTGGTAGGGACCCTGCTCAATGGGAACCTTTCTTGAGGGCTCCAGGCACTTGCTCCTTTGTCTGGTTCCTAACCCCGACCCTTGTAGTGTCTTCTCCAGCTCCATGAATTCCGTCTAATCCCCAGCCGGGACAGCCCAGGGCTAGAGTAGTAAAAGGAGGCGGGTTTGTTTAGGTCCAGCCCTCCTGCTGGCGGGAAGCTGCCTCCGCCCTGAGGCTTTTCTGGGTTACTTCCTAGCTTTTGCTCTTTGGATAGTTTCCTTGGTTAATGGCAGAAGCTAGAGTGAGAAGCAGTTGATGGTTTCTCTTAAGTTCAGGGCTATTCCAGGAGACAACTATTCTAGAACATTAGGTTTCTTTGCTGCAGCCTGTGAGGCTGCTGTCTCCCTGGCCCTCTTTGAGCTCTGAAGCAAGCCCTAGCTTTCCTTCTGAGCCTTGGTCCTCCTTTACTACACTCCTGTCCCCTGTCCCCCCCCCCCTCCATCCCTCACTAACAGCTGCCCCTTCCCATCTGTCCCAAGGATTCAGATTAACAAACAACTTCTCCCCCCCAACATCATGGGCCCCCAACACTCCATCAAGCAGTGACCTAGATGGAGGGAGGAAGGAAGCAAGGGAAAAAGGAAGCAAGACAAAAGGGTAAATGTGAAATTCTTAGAAATGTCTGGACAGAGGCCTTGCAGACAGCTGGAAGAATGGTCCCATCCCAGTGCTGGCCCTAGCCAAGGGACGAGGAATCATGGGCAAGTCCCTGTACCTCTCTGAGTGCCAGTAACCTTATCCGTCAGAGAAAGAAATTCTCCATCGCTGGGCTGACATGAATTGTGAAGCAATATATGTACAAAGAAGCCAACCTTGAGGGAGTGGCAGGAGGTGGGGCTTTCACCAGGCTGGGGAGAAATTAGTTGGTTTGCATAGCAGAGCCTGCATGTGAGGCTCCCTAGGGTCCCTTCCATCCAGCGGGCTGGGGGTCCCTCACTTCACAGATGAGAGTCTCAGTCACTTGCCACAGAGCACCCCACAAGTTGGGGCAGCATGGCCCTCTGATGCTAGAATCAGATCCCCCACCGCCACCCTGCCCCCTTCAACCCAGGCTGTCTTCTCTGAAGAAGAGTCTGCCCAGATTTGAGATACAGAAATGAGCCCAAGGCCATCTCCAGAAGAGGACCTTTGCAGACAGTGGGGATGTGGGTTAAAGTCTAGCTTCCTCTGGGATGATAGAGGAACTTCCTTTAGTCCACTTGGCCATAGAAAGCAGGGACACGAGAAATACAGATCTGCCTGGCACTTAGTAGCACTCAGCCGGACGCCTAACACCTTTTGGTGTGAAGGTGTCGTTGAAGGACAAACCGTGTGAGCACGTGCCAGTGAAGGAAGGCCCAGAAGTCATCCTGGACTGTTAGAAAGAATGAACTCCAGTCCTGCTTGGGAAGCCACATTCGATCTGGGCTCTCGGTCTTTCAATCTATAGCCAGCGCCGAGTCTTCCTAGAGACTGGCAAAGAGGGAACCCGGACCCCCAGATTTCAAATCATAGGTACATAGTTTCAAGAAGGAAGTTCCCTTTAGACTTCTAAAGGCTCTCTTATCAGCTTAGCCTCAGAGGTTCGTTGCGAGGGAACCAGAATATTCCTGAATGCAGGCGTGTTTAGCTGGAGCAAAGGTCAGGGACCTACGCGGGCTTACGAAACTTGAGATAACAGGCCTTCAAACCAGCTCCTGAACTAACAGTTCAGTAGGGTCTAACTACAGGAGTTCTAAGGTTCATGATACTGCCTTGATCCCTAGCTTAGTGTACTTGGGAGCTCTGGTGTTTGCTGCAACCTGTGCTTCTTGCACAGCCCCGCTGGGTGTGCGGATCCCAACACCATCTGCAGCATCCCATTGTTTGCGAAAGTTGATGCCGTTTTTAGTGTCTCCTGATGCTGGCATGGTTCGCAAAAATTCTGCAGCTCCCAGGGTCCTCGATGTTCTCACAGCCCCGTGGTTCATGCCAAGCTTGATGCTGTTGTAAACCCTAAGCTGTTGGCAGAACCTGAGCCCTTCTCTCTGAGTAGCCCACGTAGAGACGGGTCTTTCTGTAAACCCGACACAACAGGAGACTTCATCTGTGGAGCCATCTGCTTTGGGATACGTGAGAAGGATGCAGGGAACGAGATTACAGAGCTATGTTCTGGTCCCAGCTCTGTCGCAACCCTGCTGCGGGATACTGGGCAGATTCTCTGCTCCTTGGGACCCAGTCTTACCATCTGGTAAGTAGTTATGGCCTCAAATCACCAACCTCCAGGAAGGTCCTGCTAGCTACTGTGACCTTGCTCAGAGGATAAAGGAGGCAATGGATAGTTTAGAGGCACCTTCCCCCCCAAACCGTCCAAACTGCGCCCTCAGCACCTCTGTTCTCACTTCCCTCTAGACTTCCAGTCAGGGCGGATATCTATAAATGAGCTCTAGGCTAGCTGGGTGTAAATGGGGGTCTTCTGTGAGCCTAGCCTGGGCTTTCCCAGCCTCAGATCTGAGCTGCCTTGTGTTCAGATCCCTGTGATGGAGATCTGCTTCACCTGGGGCTCGATAGCTCTGCCCAGGGAAGGCAATGTTACGCTTCGGGCATGACCTGCCGGTCAGAGAGGTGACTTTCTCAGAGCGGTGAGCAGAGGACTGGCTGTCTACCTCGCTCTGGGTTTTACTCCCTGGCCAGTAGAGGAGCAATAGCCTCCATCCTGCTTAGAGTCAGGGCCTCCCCTTTTCTGGTCCTCTCCATCCTGAGGCAGCTCACTCCCAGCACACCATGGTCTGCAGGCCAGCTGGATGAAGGGGGCCCTGGGAGGGGCCGTGCCATGAACTCCTGCTCTTGGCTCAGCCCAGCCCCTGGCACTTTCAACCTTCTCAGCCACTGGTGCTTGCTGAGGCTGCTGAACCCAGCTGAACACTGCTCTCCACCTCCTAGACTATGGGGGTGTCACTCACCCTAGGCTCTGTGTCTCAGCAGCCTTCCCCTGGGTCCCACTGCCTCCATGCTGGGCTAGAAACCGCATCCTCCTCTAGAACTGTCAGGCCCGTCTCCCAGAGAGCAAGAGTTTAATCACCTGATACTTTTAAGGCACTGGATGCTCCCATCTTGACCCAGCAAGAATTCTTTGAGGGTCAGTGTCCTCCTCTGCAATAAAAAAGATAAGGAACCTCCTGGCAGAACCACACAGAATATGGTCTTTGTGCCCCATCTCCCTGGAGAGTGGGCAGCTTCTCTCCAAGGAGGCAGGATTCTCCCTCCAGAGAGGCCTTCTCTGGGCGACTTGGAGCCTGCTGATTGCCCTCTCTGATCCTGCATGCCCTTGTCTGTGAAATGCCTCCCGAGAGCTGTCAAGGCTGGGATGAGCTGATGGATGGATTAGTGCTCGCTACGTTCTGAGAGAGCAGACGTAGGCTCATTATTAATATGGCAGCCATGACGACAGTGATGACTTGAGATTCTGGAGGCAGAGGAAGGGGAGGAAGTCAATCCCAGCAGGTGCTCATCAGGTCGGGGCCCCAAGGCAACAGATTACCCGGAAGGAAGCCCCCAACCTCCCAGCTCAAGGGCAAACTGGAAACGTAGCAGGCTGGCTGGGGGCCGTCAGTGTTAACAGCTGGGGCTCTGTGGGTGCTTTAGGGGGTCCAGCTGAGTACCGGGTAGCCTGGACCCCCAGTTTTTACTCTGCCAACTCTACGCTGGCATTAGTCAGGTCCTGCCTCTGCCTGGTTGTCAGTCTCCTTGTTATAAAATGGGGAGATGGCTTGGAAGGGGTCCCATTCTTCTCTGACTTTGGCAGGATGACATAAATTGATGTGTTCAAAAAGAGTCAAGTATGGGGTTACAGTTATTGGTAATTTGTGTCCTTGGGGAGACAGCACTGGTGGGGACACAAGGTGGGAGGGAGGGTGCAGACAGAGGGAACCAGAGTGGGCCAGGAAGAAAGTTCCTTCGGAGGAAAAGCCTGGCTCCGCCAAAGAGGTTTTGCAACATTGCCCCCTGGAGGCAGAGAGGAAGTCTGCACCCTGACCTTTCCTCCCCGATTCCAGTAACAGAAGTGGCCTTTGGAGGGATCAGCATCAGAGATAAACAAGGAGGCTTTGCTCGTGTGAGCTCTGGCTTCTCCGTTTGTCAGCTGTTTTACTTCACTTTTATAGCGGTGAAGCAAGCACAACATTTACCACGGCATTCTTTAAAATTTTTTAATTTTCATCTTTTTGAGACCCGTCTCATTTTATATCCCTGGCTGGCCTGGAACTTACGTCCAATCTCCTGTGTCCACCTCCGGAGGGATGGGAGTACAGGTGTGCACTAACACACCCAGGTTGCCCTGCTTCCTCCTCTCCACCTTTTTGTTGTCATTATTGTTCATTTGAATCAGGGTCTCCTGTAGCCCAGGCTGGCCTTGGGCTCAATATGTAGCTAAGAACAGTCTCCTGATTCTGTCCCTTCACTGGGATGACAGGTGCATACCACTGTGATGGTCTTATCTGGCCCATTTTTGTAGGTGGAGAGCTTGTTTGGCACTGATTACGTGGGCTGTGTGTGGAACTAACAGGTGGCCATCCGACGCTACAATCGCTTTCCTCTCTAAAAGCAAGCGGTGATGTCTAGAGACCCGTGGCCAGGGTGCTTCAGCATTCCTTACTGAGCTCTTAGAGGTTGCGACAGCTGCTGGGAAGTAAACCAGCTTCATCCAGGAAGATGATTCACTTCCTCCCTGGTGGCCTGTGAGCCCGCGAGTCTCAGGCCGGAAAGCAAAAATACTAGCGGTCCACAGCTGCAGTGACTTCTGGGCTGCTCACTCAGAGGGCTTGAGTCACATAACAATTCCAGAAGGGCTGGCCTGGCATGGGGGCCAAGGCTGGGCTGGGCAGGGTACCTGTTTGCTGCTGCCAATCTTACGGGGCGAGGGAGGACAGAACCCGGGTCACCGTCCTTGTCTTCGTCACGGCTGTTTTGTCAGCTTACCTCTGGAGATCACTTTATTCCTATCACCCCAGCACACGTCCCCCGAGGTCACAAGAGGTCGCTTTAGGTTCTAGAACACACGTGTTCTAGGTAAGAATGGCCTTATGAAAATGCTGGTCTCACTTCAC